AAATTAATTTTAATTTGTTAAAAAATAAATATTTATTGTTAATTTTTTAATAATTAAATTAAATTAAATTAAATAAATTTAACAAAATAGTAAGTAATTATAATCAAACTTACCACATACTTAATGGTTCAATATTACTCTTAGTTTCATTAATGTTTTGGATTTGAATTGTATAACAATACAAATGCTTGGTGTCATTATTGTCGTCACTCATAATATTAAGACCACTAAATTTTTAATTTTTTTCTTAAATAGAGCTTGAAATATTAATTTATTGATTGATTTTAATTTATTAACTAATAAATATTAATTATTCTATAATTATTAGTTAATAGTTATAATTATTAGCTATTTTTATTAATTAAATAAAATAAAATAAGTATCATTAGAGACAATATTTTACAATTTTTGGTAGCCGTAATATTATGAATGGTAGTCATAACCCTCCCCCAAGTGCTACACACAAAACAAACAAGCCTCTGATTATGGGCTGGGATTATTGTCACTCTAATTTTTGTTAAGGTTAATAATTTAATTGTAATTTTATCAATTTATAATTTTTTTAAATAATTAATTATAATATTTAAAAATATTTATTTATAAATTGATTTTAATATATTAAATAATTAATATTAACTATTTTATTAATTATTAACTTTTGTAGCAGTGAAATTAAAATAAAATTTTGACAATTTTTAATAGTTTTAACAAAATTTGCAGTGTTCATGATCATTCCCTTCATTATGTAGTTTAGAATAAAAATATTTTTTTATTAGCAAAGATAAATTTTATTACTCAAAGTATAATCGGTACTTTAATGCATATCCATCAAGATTCATTAAATAAGTAATAAAACCATCCTCTCAAGTGTATGTTATAAGTAAGTTATAATAAAAGTATGTATTAAGAAAAAGAAAAATTAATATATTTTAATATTAATAATATTAAGATGTTTAATTATAATTATATAATGAATAACATACTATTAGAATTCAGGTTATATTCCACATGTGGAGGAAAAGGAGAGTTAGAGGAAGAAATGATCACGAGAGAGGAAAGAAAAGAAGAATGTATGGATGGGTATGAGTACCATCCTATAATCTATTACATGTATCGATACACGGGGTTACCACTTGGGACGAATGCCCACTTACGCCTGCCCCACCTCTCCATTTCCAGTTTGGTCTCCAAGCAACTGGGTTACTTTTGGAATATATTGGTTCTTGGGCTTGACCTAGTTAACAAACGTTCTAGCCCCAATGGTGTGGTATTGGGCTAACAACTTTTTTTTTTTTGAACATTCGGGCTAACAACATTTGTATACTACTTCGACAGGGATTTCCATTTTCCATCTCACGAACTCGAAAAGATATGACCCATATACTTGGACGTCATTACATCACAGACTTTTTTTAACAACGGGAAATTTTTTCGGGAAAGGAGAAAACGACTTGCGTTTAGAATTCAAGTCTTGCTAGTCCTAATAACATCATGTAATGTAATGAGAGGTAATTAGACCCTAAAGTGCTGGACCATTACATCACAGACTTTTGTTTATAGTTCCATTGAGATTAGTATTTATAGGCAGCTTAAAAAATAAGTATATTGGTTTAAACATAAATTTTATATTTAATGTAAAATTAATTGGCAATAGGTATATGCTTTTTAATTAAATTTTTAATGTAAAATTTTTTCACTTAACATATCTTTTACGTGTAATCTCACTATAAATATTAATTTTTATTATATGACTTAATACACTTTAAAATTAATCGATAATAGATCATACGTTCCTCTGTCAAATTTTTAATATGAAATTTTCTCATAATGGCACCGTAAAGTATTATGAAAAAAATATTTTAAAATTATGTTATACAAAAAAAAAGTTAAAACACTTAATGGAATACAGCACTTAATGGAATACAGCAAGTTACGCACTCTTATGAATTTTTTAACAAAAATTTATTAAAACATATAATAAAATATTTTTTCATATATTTTTTTAAATTCACCTCATAAACACTTTTCTCTTGTAATATCCAATCTCAATGGCACTTGACTTTTCAGTTCAAGTGATTTTTCAGTTCAAGTGACTTTTAACTACTTTGAGATGCATTTTTTTTTTTTTGAGGGATTTTAATATATCTCGTAATAATATTGCTCAAAAAAAAAAAATTTCTCAATGATACTTAACGGCAAAAAAAAATCGTCTATGTACGGTACTACTTTGAAGGAAACTAAGAAACACCACTACCAAGCCGCAAACCAAATCACATTCAAAAGCAACCCAACAATTCAAAGTTACGTTTTGTCTTTCTCTGAAAAAGACTTTAAAAACCATTCATCTAAAAAAAAGAAAAAAAGAAAAAGGGTAAAAACCAAATCTTAGAAAAAAGAGAGAGAGAGAGAGAGAGAAAAAAAAAGAAACTAATTTCTCTCCTCTTTATTTGTCTCGGGTCCTCCAATCCTTCTCAAGTATGGAGACTGACACGGATCATTTTGCAGTGATTGACTTCAGAAACATCAACTTGTAACCTCTATCTCTCTCAATAATAATATTTCCCATTTTCTAAGTTTTCCAAATTTTCATTTTTGTTCTCTGAAACGGCCAGGGCCACAAGCCAAAGTGGTCACCCTGATAGGACTGTCTGATTTCATTCTCATGATGACTCTCATCATAACTGTCAACACTACTGCTAGGTCTGAGAAAACTGGACCGCCTGATTATTGTTATGGTAATCATTGATTTTCCTCCTCTTCATGTCCCCTTCTAGATTGTGACTTGCTATGGTTGTGGCAGTGATGATGGTTGAGGCGTTGGTTTTGTTGCTCTCCGAGCTAGAAAAATCCAGGTCAAGCACATTGACTGGCGTGTACGAGCCCGAAACAGGCTCAAAAACCGATTCGTACCCATCCTTCACCAAGTTTTCCATTGCTTTGTAGCATTGTGACATGTTTTCCTTCAAATTGAAAAGAAAAAAAAAAAAAAAAGAATATCCCATTTTACTTTTTTAATTGTAAAGAAGTACTGTATGGATACTTAGGTCTTAGGTTCACCTTATTTACATATGGACAGTTAGAAATTTCTTTCCTAAGACAAGGGAATTGCAAGGGGAAGAGTTCATGGCAAGCATAGAGAAGTGCCGATGCAGCTACTATTGATGGCTTGAACTCCAAAAGCGTAATGTCTATGCATAAAAAGAAATATTTTAAATTTTAGTTAGAGACTAATCAAAATTATGGACTGCACAACACAAAATAACATTTTCTTTTCCAAATTTCATTTGTAAAGATCTGAACTCTAAACCTCTCAATGACTGAAACAACTGAAATGGTAGTGAATATTATTGACAATGGTGACTTACCAGTTTGACCTTTGAAGATGAGTTCAGTAGCTCGATCTTTAAGAGCCAGCATTAATGGTGGGTCTTTGAGCTTGAAGAAAGAAATGAAAAATGGGACAAAAGAAAATGGTGTAATAGAACGCATTCTCCATTTTAGAGCCCCCAAAATCAAGTACTCCATTCTCTCCACTGTCTGTGTATCAAATATAAAGCCTCCATCACCCTGCAGAAGGAAAAAGAAAAAAAAAAAGAACTGTAATTAACATACCCTGCTTTAACCTTTCTCCATGAATATCAGTAGAAATATGTGATTTTCACCGGAAAATCAGTGATGGAAAACTCTGTTTTTTTCATCTTGGCTGCTAAGGAGACACAAGAGATTGCAAGAAGACGTACAGCCCATGTTTTTGGTTCCTGTAACATCAATTTTTTCCTTTCAGAGTACTTAAGATTTATGTATCCAATTTAAAACCAATTGATTGGTTAAAGCATCAATATGAAGTACATAAGGCCACAAGTACTTAACAATCGAACTAGAGATTTTTCAACTTTGGCCTTAATGATAGTAAGTATTCGATCCTTACCGGCGTTCCTTGGCTTGATAGGAATCGATCAAGATAGTTAACAGCTAAATATGATAAAAAGGGATCAATGCTGTAAGAAAACTGAAATGAAAACGAAAAAAGATTGTCAAGATTCAAACATATGTCCTGCAATAGCTGAATAAACTAAAGACTCTTAAGATATACCTGTGAGATTGAAGAGATGGCTTCTCGTCGGACGGAAATGTCAAAATCTCTGGCTCTGAGATTGTGGGAATAGTTCTCTACCGGCATGTGATCAGATTCCAAGAGGAAGAGGGAAGGGAAATAGTCGGAGCGGAAGTTGGTTAATGGGTTTTCGAGATCGTACTCCATGTAATCGATTACAGTCTCTGTCAAAGTTCAGCTTTGAAGGGAGAGCTCCACCATGAAGGTGTGAACATAATGATGATAGGGGATGCAAGCAGAGGGAGAGAGAGAGTTGCTTTGTTTTTGGTAAAAGATGTTTGTTTTGGTGTTGAGGTGCAGCTGTATTCTTATAGTATGGGGCGTCAGCATCAAGTAGGCGTTTATGGAAAAGAAAAAACGGTTTAGAAAGAAAGGGTGGTGATTAGATGGGTCAGGGCTTCGGTAACTGTTGGAAGCAGATAATTAGTTAGACATGGAAAAAGAAAATTCATATCATTTTGTACTGCTTTGACCTTCTAAATGTCTCCCAGATGTCTCTTCTTTTTTTTTTTTTTTTTTTTTTTTTTTGTCTTTTTATTGAGTGACATTTATGTTGTGTTGTGTGTTAGTGATTTTTTTTTAAAATATCTTAAATATTAATTAAAATTAATAAAAATATATAAAAAATTACATACAAATTAAATTTTATATTTTTAATAAGATACAATATGAAGCATGATAAACAAAAAGTAACAACTAATTTCAATTTTTTATATCAAACAATCTCTCATAGAGTGTTTTATAAAATTGAAAATGGTTGATTCAAAACTTTCAAGAAAAAAAAGGTATACCTTATTGCACAATTAATCTCAAAATCTTTTTTTTATATCGTATTATAAATTATATAATAAAAAAAAAATTTCTCTTTTTTCAAATAGATACTTAATTAACTCAAAATTTAAACTTAAAATTTTTTAATTAAAATCTCAAGTATTTAACTGATTGAACTGTCACTTCAAAGTTGTTTTTTAATTGTCTCAAACTTTATTGTCATTTTACGGGAAGAGGAAGCTACTACAGATTTTCTAGCTTCCCTTGGACTTCTTCACAACCGGGTTTAAGTATTTTGGACTCACCGCCGAGTGGTTTATGATCAATTCTTGCAGGAGGCCAGTTGAGGGCTTGCTTCCTCCATGATTAGTTTTCTTAGTTTACTTTAATTTTATTACTAATGCATTACAAAATAATTGTTGTTTTTATATTTTCTATATTCATTAATTTTTTTTATCTTATTTTAACAATGTAGTTAAATCTCACATTTAATAATCCACTTCAACAATAATATCTTACATGCATAGATATGAACCAGACTTCATTTCCATGCAGCATCAATGGCGAGCACACTGCAAACCGAAGCAAGGCTAGTGAAAGTTGAAAATGCTTCCTCATAATCAATATTATATTTATTAGTAAAGCCCAGACAAGCCTTATAACACTTCACAAACCCATTAATTGGTCGAGTTTTAATATTGTGTAGTCATTTTCATCTGACCCAGAAGGAAAATAATATGTACACGTTTTTTTGACATAATTTCAATTCAATCATAAAAAAATATAATATAAATACAATCAATTCAATCGATTCTTATATTTTATATGTATAATTATTGTTTTTTTAAATTTATCTGCTTTTAATTTCAAACTAAAAAATAGTGATTTTTTAATAAGTATATTGTGTAGTGTGTTGAATCAAAATGTGTACTAATCACTATCCTACTCATAAAGGTCAACTAAATCAAATGTGGAAGTTTTCTCGCATGTAACTCATCTTACATGGTTAGTTACCAGCTATTAAAAAGTGTCAAAAGCCTTGCATGCCCTGTTATTTTAGGACAACGATATATACACCCTACACAGTGACATACTTCGTTACGTACTGACAGTTCTGTTAGTATATAATAGAAACCGTTAATTTTAACGGCATAATTAATGAAAATCATCAATTTTAACAGTGCAAATAACAGAAACCGTTAACTTTAACGACACAAATAACAGCAATTTCAGTGTGTAATGAAATGTATAACTTAATTAGCAAGATGTACCAATCATTTTCCATTATTTTAACACTAAATTAAACCCTCATCACTAAATGCATTTCTTGTAGTTAAATTTGTATGTTGCATGCTCCACATTCCATATATAGAAAGATGTGTGTGAAAGATGTGTATAATTTCTCCACTCCTAATTCTAGAAAAAACGTTACTGATAAATCCACCTACTAAATTAACTTTGTGTGACTTTAAGAAATCAAACACAAAAGTTCAATGCAACCTTAGTAACTAATTATTAAGCAGGCAAACATTGTATGTATAAATGATGGATATTGATTGGAATAAATTTTAGTTTAATATATTACATAATATATTTATTAAGAAATTATTAATTTTTACTATAAAATTAAAAATAAATAAATTTAAAAAATGCAACTATACCTAAAAATATAAGAATTGGTTAAATTAGTTGTATTTATATTATCATTTAATAGTTTAACCAAAACAAATGTTAAAATATATGTTAAAATAAAGTTGTACCAATCATTTTATAGGATACATATGGCACCATTTGAGACGACAAAGAACATAGTATCTTGATGCCACTTCACTGTCGCTATTTCCCACATGATGAGAGAACCCAATGGAACTTCATATTTTTCTACCAGATTTACAAGGATAGTGACAGGTTTGAATACCTTTACTTCCTCACACCAAACCATGTAACAACCCAAAGTAGAAACCCAAATATTCCACCGCCCACTACTGCCAAATATTAATTTCACCAATATTCGTTACTACTTTTCATGTTATTTGGTAATGGAAGGCTCCCTCTTACAAGTAGAAGGAGACTATCAATAGGACAAAGCATTTTGTATGAACTTGAGCATCAAAGTGAGAGTTGAAATTTTTAATTAATTGGTTTAGATTAAAATAGAAGTCAATGGAGGAACATATCATGTGTTGAATTAGCTGAAGTTAACTCTTTTATTATTCTGCCTTTGGTCCTTTCTTAGACAATATTTGAATAGTTCAACTTTATCTAAACTGTGTTCTGTGACTAAAGATGACTTTATAGATCTCCATAACCAAGAGTGGGTGGGTACATATAGACTTGCAAGCAAAATCTATTATTAATTTCATCCCAAGCTTGGGTTGGAACTTTGAGATAGAGAAGAGTTTGGAGAAGTAATGGATACATTATACATTTTTATCGAACATTAATGAGAGATTGAGGAAAATTTGAATGTATATTTTGACTTTTAAAATGTCAAGAATAATATCTTTAATAGATTAAGATTATTTGAATAATTTTACAAAAAGTACTAGCATTTAAAATATTAAAATGTTATGATTTTCACTTTTTTCAATTTAATAATATGTTCTAAATAGTTCATAGATGCTTTCTTTTCTTTCTTTCTTTTTTTTTTTTTAATATATGTAGAGACTAAAAATTGAGATAGAGAAGAGTTTGTGAATAAGTGTAATGACTTGGATCCCACATCAAAGTGTAAATGTAATTGATATTCAGGGCTTTATTTAATAAATCATCTATTAACTGTTACCTTTTTTTCATTTTAGTCTAGATACTTTATTTTCTTTCAAAGTCATCTATTAACTTTCAAAACTGTTTCATTTTTATCTACCCCACATAACTCCGTTAACAGAGTTAATGAAATTCTACATACGAGATCATGTGCTGCCATGTAAGCAGCCACATGGCAGGAGCAAATTTCCAGCGGCAACATTGTTTTTCTTTCATTTTTTTTTTCCACATGGCAGGAGCAAATTTCCGACACCATTGTTTCTCTTTCATTTTTTTTTTTTTTGGGCCAGATGGCAGGGGCAAATTTCCAGCAGCATTGTTTCTCTTTCTTTTTTGGTTTTTTGTTTTTTTAATCACATCTCAGGAGCAAATTGGCACATCATTGTTTCTCTTTATTTTCTTTTGCCACTGTTTTTCTTTAATTAAAACTAAATTTATCATTAGAAAAATAATAAAACTAAAATATAAGTATTTTAAAAAATAAATTTTTTTGACGAGTATCTTTAAAATACAAATTAAAATATATTTATTATATTTTTTTGATGAAAAATATAAAAATAAATTTTA